GAAGACTCGTTTACTGCTTCAGAGCTACAAGGTGTAGGCTATGACTCCTGATCAGCCGGTAACCTGATCTCTTGTTGTTCTCCATCTGACTCAGAGCCAGCTGCAGCCGGCTGCTCAATTCCGACTCAGGGCTAGCAGGTAGCTCTTCATCTGAGAAATCTGAGCCATCATTCAGCACAGACTGGCTTATGACACCTAGGTTTAGAAAGCCTGAAGATCTCTTCTGTAGGCCATATCAGTATGTCGACCTTTTCTAGTGCACGGTATCATTTCTCCATCACCAGCAAGTCAGCATTTTTTGGAATAGTGATTTATTTTAAACCGCCTACCTTGGGGGGAAAAAACAACAACAACAAAAACATATAACTACAATATGGGCAAGGAAAGGAGATCCACACATGGCATCTTGCTTGGGACCTCTGATGCCTCCTTATCACAAGCCGTAACAGCACACTTCTGTAATCTCCCTCTCTTTAATCTGCGTGTGGACAAAATGTTAAACAAGCCCCCCCCCCCAATATATTATCCATTGGTTAATTATTATTAGAACTCAACAGTTAGTCACTGTTTTTTCTATAAATGCAGTTCTATAGAAGTCTTCATCACAGAGAAAGACAGATTTCACCTTAATTCCAAATTAGCAAACTTAGTTTTCTTCTTACTGCAAGAGAATAGAAATAATGGTATCAACAGTAAATAGATATTTCTGTAGTATCCCACTGAGTTGCATATCTGTTATCCTTTGTTGCCTTTCGTATCTTTTCTTTTGCTCGCTTTCTCACTTATGATGAGAATTGTGATCATGTACCCTCCTTCATGGTTTATCTTGGATTTCCTTACAAATTGCAGTTTTCCACCATAAAATCATGACAATAAATATTGGCAGCAGTCCAGCCATTGATTTAAACAGAACTTTAAAACAAATAAGTATAAGTTGGATTGCTGCCATTTTTATATACAAATCTTTTCTGTATGCCAAATTGAAGCCTCTCTTGGTCTATGCTTACAAGAAGAAGAGGAGGAGGAGATTGGATTTATACCCCACCCTTCACTTGAAGTCTCAGAGCGGCTTGCAAACTTCTTTCCCTTCTCCTCCCCACAACAGACACCCTGTGAGGTAGGTGGGGCTGAGAGAGCTCTTTCGAGAACTGTTCTTTCAAGAATAGCTCTGACAGAATATGGCTTGCCCAAGGTCATCCAGCAGCTGCAAGTGGAGGAGTGGGGAATCAAGCCTGGTTCTCCCAGATTAGAGTCTACAAACTTAACCACTACACCAAATTGAGTATAAGAAAACCGTTTTCAGCAAGGACTTATCCCATTAATTGACCTCATTTTCCATGAACATATTTAAGAGAAGAGGGTAGTGCTTGTAGAACTCCCTCAGAAAAGGTTTGTTGTTGTTTTTTAAATTGCCTTAGAGATTGTTGAATTGCTACAGCATCATTCTTAGTAGTATGAAAGTGAGACTCTCCTCACTGAGGTTTGGGACCCTGAGATCTTGTCTAGTCTGAGAAATTCCTCATTTGGTAAAACTGCGGAGCTTGTAGAAACAGTTTGTTCCAATGTGTGATAGGTAAGCATAAAAAGTTTTTCTTTTTTTTAGTACAGTTGTGCACCTTCATCTCTTGAGCAAGAGTCTGTGCACATATGTGATTTTGCATTACTGCTGAAGATGATACATGTGTAATGCATTCTTATGTATGTTGATAGCACGATGCAATTTTTAGAACACTTTGTTGCACAGTAGAATTGTGAGATTTCCCTGTCCCCGGGAGGGGGGGGGATTTCTGCCTTCAGGTGAAAGTGGGGTGAGGAAGAGACCTTTACTGGATCCTCAGAATGGGGAAGGAGAGGGGGTTCTGGAACCCTGGTCCTCTTCTTCCTTCCCTGGACTGGCTCATCCTGGTCTTCTCTCTCTCCATCTTGGAGTTCAGTCCCTTCCTCTTTGGCCGGGTGTGGGGTTCCCAGGTCCCACCCCCACCTGGCCTGGAATCCAGTCCCCTTCCACCTGCTCTACCCAGGAGGCTATAAAAGGAAGCTTCCCTTTGTTGCCTGATTCCCTCATTCTTCCCCTTGCTGCTGAGGCCTGCTTCTTACTGTCTCCCATCCTGACCTCCTTCAAATCCAGGCTTGGCCTTGCGTTTTGGCCATGCCCCTCCCCACCGCTGTCTGGGCTTTGGCCTTGTTCTTGGCTGGGTTAGAGCACTCTTCCCTGGTCCCAGCTGCCTCCATCTCCCAGCCGTCCTCATGTGGGTGAGTCAGAATCCTGGCCATCTGTGGCTCGGGTGGCCAAGTGTCAGCTCCTGGCAGTAGCCTTAACCAAAAAATGAATGTTATTTATGGTCTGTTCTTCAGTTGGAATTTGCCATAGTTGTTCCCATTTTTATTATGACCCTTTCCCTAGAATAACATATTGCTAAGAACATTCATAGAATTAAAAAGTATGACTACTTTTTTATCTACCGTTATTTCTCAGGAACAAACCCAACTACGATAAAAAGGGGGAGCAGGCAGACAGTTGGCAGTATATTGCACTAGTCTATGGCGTATATAATAAAATTTGACAGGGGTCCAGTCTGTGTACAGTGTAATGGGCTTCATAACCGTGAACCCAAATGTGGCCGAGACTTGAGTGACTTAATGAGATGTTTTCGGGGGGCGGGGGGAGAAAGGTTATGTTTTGGCATGCAAGAAAGGGCAACATGGTTCGATATCGTCACTTAACTAACCTTTAAGTGTGCAATTAACATTTAAAGAAAATAAAGTTTGTGGAATGCTGTTGAATAATTGCAGAAATGTGGAAAGTAGTTAAATGTCTCAGTTCTGTTTAACAGGCGGTTTTTTTAACATCACAGTGCTGACATACCATAAAATTAGAGCTAAGAGGCATGAAAGATTGAATACAAAGTGTGCTTCAGTGCTGTCACAAACAGTTTCTTTGACTTTTCCATCTACAACAGGATCAGCAAGGTGCCACTTGAAATGTGATTTTATGCAAAAATATTGAACTGAACTACCTTCTATGCTGTGAATGTATTGTGTTAATGGGTGCATGTACGGAATATATTCAAATTAGACCTATGGACAACCATCATTGATATGCTGTAATGACGGTTGCTTTTTAATCGAAGGGCTGCAGCAGTTGTTTGCCCTCTTGTCTGCAGTTTTAAGAACTAGTCTGCAATCTAATGGAATTTCCCTCCAGAAGTTTCATACGGAAGCAGACTGGGGAATGCCTCAGCAGGAGACACAGAGGCAAGGCCTCAGAACTTGGAGGGGAAGCTTAGAGCCCTGACCCTCCCAGTGGGCAGTTCTTTACAAAGGTCAGGTGGTGGCAATGGTTACCTGAGAAAGAAAGAAAAACCTCTCGAGGCGTTGGGAAAACCTTGGAGGGCAGGTTGGAAGAGGGCCTGCAGCCCAGAGTGGGCCCGTTCCACCACAAAGTGCTATAGAATGCAAATGATGAAAACATGGTCTTGTCTCTGCAGATTTATTCCATATGTGGTGGCAATGCCAGCTGGTAGAAAAATTCTGGAACAATGTTGTCATGGAAATAAATCATATGTTAAAATAATAGCTTTAGGCAATTTTGAGAGTCTTTAAGTTTCAAGTCTTATTCAAGAACGTGTCAAGAAAGAATATTTAAATAGAGTCCTTTTAGTAGCCAAAATGTTGATAGTGAAAAATCAGAATCTGTTGAAAATTTAAATATTAGGACACAGTTCATCAGAGTTTGTCATCTTTCATCTAGATATTTAGCAATTTGCCAAACAGTGCAAGCTTACATTCTTATTAAGTTGGCAAACTGTTCTTGAGTTTTAGCATCAAAAGCTGAATATATATGTTTAAATGCATTTAACCATTACACTTTGTTCTGATATTGTTCTGATAGTTGCTTGTATATCTTTTGTTTTTGTATTTACCTGCATTTCTGTATTTACACACACACAGAGACAAACACACGCGCACACAGAGTTTGGTGTAGTGATTAAGAGCGCAGACTCTAATCTGGGTTTGACCTTGGGTCAGTCATAAGTTGTTTCAGAGCTGTTCTCTCAAGGGCAGTTCTTGAAAGAGTTCTCTCAGCCCCACCTACCTCACAGGATGTCTGTTGTGGGGAGGGGAAGGGAAAGGGATTGTAAGCTGCTCTGCAACTCCTTCGGGTAGTGAAAGGTGGGGTATAAATCCAATCTCTTCTTCTCTTCTTTTACACACACACATACATACAAGAAAGGGGACCTGCGATATTCCTCCACGTGGAGGAGGAGGAAGCAGCCGCAGGTGAGCCTTCTCCCCTGCCCCTGGCACCAACAGCAAGGCCTGTACTGCTCCCAGCCGCCAGGCCCACCAAGCCTTCTCCCTCCCCCCCCTCAGCACCAGCAGCGAGGCCTAAGCTTGGCCTGCCAAGCCTTCTCTTTCCCCCCTCTCCCCCCGGCGGCAGTGGCAGCGAGGCCTGAGTGGCTCACAGCCACCGGCCTGCCAAGCCTTCTCTCTCTCCCCCCGGCACCCACGGCGAGGGCTGAGCTTGGCCCGCTAAGCCTTTTCTTTCCCCCTCCCTACGGTGGTGGCGGTGAGGCTTGAGCAGCTCAAAACCGCCAGCCCGCCAAGCCTTCTCCCGCCCCTTCCTGCGCCCCCCCCCCCCCCCCGGGCACCGGCATGCAGCCTGAGCGGCTCCCAGCCACTGGGCCTACCACGGAGTTCCCAGAGCAGGGAATGCTCTTTTACTTCTGGAGAGATTTAACTATCCCCCGTACAGTTTTTTAAACTTTTTAGATTTTTCTGCACACCTGGGGACTTTGCCCCCCAAGTTAAACATATGTGTGGATTTAGATATCCGCACCGAGGGGGCAACTTGGCTATACACACACACACACACACACACTTTTAAAAATAATAGTTTTAACTAAAATAGTATTGTATTCATATGGACCTTTTCTTATTAAGACTTAAATTGCTAAATTCATATGAAAATATTCCTTTTTTTACATTCCTTATACTAGAATCTGGTTAAGAACCTCCCTGAACAGAAGGAGCTCAGTGCCTTAGCCGAGTTGAAGAATGAATATGATGATCTTTGTGAGCCAGAACAATTTGGAGTTGTGGTATGTGCTTTTTCTATCTGTTTTTCTATAGTATTTACTATATGCATATATAGTTATTATTATATGCATATCTTCATTAAAACCAGACTGGTGTGGATATTAGAGTGTCAGGCTGGGATCAGAGAGACTGGAGTTTAAATGCTTATTTAGCTGTGAGACTCACTGAGTGTACAAGTCATTCACTCTCAGTCTAAACTACTTTACAGGATAGCTAAACTGTTGGGTTTGACTGTGGAATGCCTTGATTCAGATTTCAGATCACTTGATAATTTTGGACATTTGCCCTCTTTTATCATTTATCTTACCTAAAAGAAAAGAAGATAAAACATTCTGACCCCATAGAAGCTATTTTGAGTTCCTTATAGACAGCACTAGATAAAGTTGTGACAAATGTGACATATAAAATGGGGATTTGAGTGTTTGAGAACCAGTAGTGGTTAAGCCTTTCAAGGAATCGGTGTTCTTTTTGACTCCAGAAGTCATGGGGTAAAAATGGTTTGCCCATTAAAAGCTTTCTGCAGACACCAAACCCCTGTTATGCTTTCTCCCCAATGAACTGCAGTGCCCTGAAGTCCCTCTCTTCTCTCCCCACTGCCTATCTTTTTTAAGTTTGAGTTTTCATTGAAGGGTAAATGGGGTCATTCTGGGCCCCATTAGACTTGGCTTGAAAGCAAAAGTACTATACATAATCATAATTGGGGTTCTAGGGACCTCAACAAAAATGGGGGGGGGAATCTAGCATTGTTCCCGTGTTTAAATAGATGGACCAACACCTATCTCCATTTTATAGGAAGGTGAAGAAAACAGTGAAAATTAAAATTTCTCTCATAATTTATACCTTACAGACATTTGCTTTACAACACTTTTGGAACTGGGGGTTGAAATGACCCCCAGGGAAACCAGTGTTTACATCCTGAATTGTTGTGTATATAAGTAGAAGCAGGTAAAAGCCCTGAGTTTGTGCTCATGTAGAAAAACTCAGGAGCTGCGGTGGCTTAAGTGGTTAAGACGCTGAACTGCAGGCTGTGGAAGGTCAGTAGTTCAGCATTTCGAGATCCGAGTTGCCGCATGACAGAGTGAGCTCCTGCCTCTAGTTCCAGCTCCTGCCAACCTAGCAGTTCGAAAACAAGAAATTGCAAGTAGATAAATAGGTACCACTTTGGTGGGAAGGTAACAGCGTTCCGTGCGCCTTGGTGTTTAGTCATGCCGTCCGCATGACCACGGAAACGTCTTCGGACAGCGCTGGCTCTTCGGCTTTGAAAAGGAGATGAGCACCGCAACCCTAGAGTCGGACTCGACTGGCTTTCAAGCAAGGGAACCTTTACCTTTACCTAGAAAAGTTCAAATTGAACTGCATTGCAATTTCGGAAATGGAGTCATTCTCTCCCCCTGCAAGACGTACCCATGCATGTCTGCAGGCATCCACTGAACCAATACACATTTTTTTCTAACTTGAAGGAGCTGCTCAGCCTGGAACTCTAGATGACCCCTAGCCACCTTTCCACTGAGCTGATTGTTTCCCTGCAAGACCCAAAGAAAATGTGCACAGTGTGCACATTTTGTCTGCTTATAACATCCTACATTATAAGCTTTGCTATGCAATGCATGCAAGGAGGCTCTTCTCAAGAGAGAAAAGCGCTCATTTGTAAAAGTTCTAACTGTACTATATTTACCTATTCAAAAACATTCTGCCTGTGTCACCTGTTAACTCGCTTTTTTGTTATCTGTTGTTCCACATTGCACTATTATTATATTAACAGTTAAAAATGATTAATTTTTTTTAAAATAGACAGTTTTACAGATTCCCAACTGTATTTTATGCTTTAAAAAACGCTGGGGTCAATTTGACCCCATTTACTTTTCTGTGGGTTTTTGATGTTTTCAAGGAGAGGTATTTTTTACCCCAATTCCAAATTTTACTCTTCTTTTTCCTGCATTCCTGAAAGAGGTTAATCCTGAGGCCTGATCTTTTTTATAGTAGCTAATGCCATGTTTGAGAGAGCTATCAGGTTTCCATTGCATTTGCTGTCATTTGGGGTCACTTTGACCCCAGTGTCAAAGTAGTGTAGTCTTTTTTTTTTTTACCTTGGAAGGGTTAAGAGTGTTGAGCTAGTATCTGGAAGACCCAGGTTCGAATCACCACTCATGCCATGGAAGCTCTCTGGATGACTTTGGGCCAGTCACATTTTCTCAGCCTAACCTACCACACAGGGTTGTTGTGAGGATAAAGTGCACAACAAGAGAATGATGCAAACTGCTTTGGGTCCCCATCGGGGAGAAATGGTGGGGTATAAGTGGATTAATTAAATTTCCTCAATAACACATTTCTCTTAACTACAGATGCTAGCTGTAGTTTTATTATGGGCAAAATAGTGTCTGTTCAGGCTGTGAGCAGCAGACAAGGCACATGTAAAGCAATAAAGCAAGGAAGACAAAATATCACTCATTTAACCTGAGATGATGATGATGATGATGATGATGATGATGATGATGATGATATCATCAGTGCAAGATTTACGCTGATGTTTTTAGCTTGTAGGGAACTTCTGTTTTTCTGAGTAGTTTATCGTCCCTTAGGGTTACATCAAAAGTCATGTGAGCACCTTGTATCTGGAGCAGAGTCGTCATATTTTAAGTCAGTTGTCTTTTAAACCTCCATTAGGTCTCATAGGATTGCCTGGGTCTCCCACAACTACAGCTTTTTGTTTGTTC